GTTGATCACAAACAGGAGAGCTGCTATAAAAAAAGGGATATAGTTGACATAGTTACAAGAAAACACGTGGTTTAACAAATTAATTTATTAATCACAAACACATAATAAACTAGTACCAGATGTACGTAAGTTGTAATTAATGTCATCAAGATATTTGGAGCTTGCATATTTTCTCCTGTGCTAATTAGCCATTTTACCTGAACAGATTTCCAACTTGGGGTAAAAGTGCAGAATTAGCAATTCTATACATAGCTATATGTTCTATCCCCCAATAAAAATTGTAATTCACATAGCCATTACAGTCTGTAATTTTACTATATACAATACTTTTTTTTTTAAGATAATATTATAATCATTGTTGATAATAACATCTTATCCTCTTTTAGGGATTAATAAACTTTTCTCAGGGTTTTGTTTTCACAGCAGGAAGGTATGGCAAGTTTTTCTCTGCTGGTTGTATTGAGGAGGAAGCCAAGGCTTATAGATTTTCTTTTGCCACCCAGAGCACTTTCCATAGGTTTGTATTAGATTTCACCCCTAGGAATCTCCTCTTGGAAAAATAAAATGCATGGAAACTGGCATGTTCCTATTTGTGTTTCATACTCTTCCTCCTCCCCCTCCTCTTCGAATCTTCATGTTACACTTCCTAAGAATATACTTGTTTGGAAGATTGGAATGAAAATGATTAAAATAAAGACCTGGGTTTTACAGAAACGTAAAGCTAGGGAGTAGAGATGAAAATCTAAAGAAATACAGGTTTTTTTTTAAATACTGGAATTGCTATTCGTAAGATTTAAGAGTGAACAGACAATGGATAATTTATAAATAGGACGTCTTTTCTAATGGAATGATGGGAATATTTATAACCATATTGAGTTATTGTGAAGCAGAAAACAGGCATGCCCTCACTTATACTTTTGATGTGTTTGTGCTGTAGCAAGCTTCAATCCAACTGTAGAATTTCCCTGTTTTGGCGGGAAAAGTGTATCCCTTCTTGTAGTGCCTCTATTTACACTTGTGGCTGGTCAGTGAATCTCAGTTCTCAAATCACCTGTGGGAAAAAGTAGGTGTGTCCAGAAACCACTTTTCTCAGGAGCTCTTTGGGGGCCAACTTAAATAGGTGTGACTGGAGTTGTGAACAGAAAGGGGCTGGATCACTCTGGATTATAGGCCTGTGCTGATGAGATTAAGCTTGCAGGTTGGCTTCCTCTGTGGGCTACTCAATTCCACTGTGTCCCCAACCTGGCCATAGTTTGCAGCTTTGTCAGCTGCATCACAGTTCTGTATTTGCCAAATATGTATAAAGTGTCGACGTATGAGGGGCTCTGAAAGTGTGACATATTATTGAAAAGTCCTTCTCATGATAGAAATGTGACTTGCACTGGTCACTTTTGGTGGCACCATCTTTGATTCCTGCAACGACCCTTGGCTAATTGAATTGTATGTGACCTTTCTCTTCTTCCTGCCTTTTTGTGACCCTCTCGTACCTTTCAGTGCTTCTCCCTTAACCTCACGGTTTCACTTCCTTTATGCTGCCTTGTCACCTGCCTTTCTAGGTCTCTTACCATAGTACATCCTTCTTAGTTGCTTCACTACTCCACAATCTAAAAAATAAATGTACTATCTCATATTCTATCTCCTTTTGCCCCACTCTCGGTTTGTTTCCTAGGACTAGAAATCCAAGAGAAACAAATCATACCATCATGTTGGAATCTATTAATGGTCTAATACTCTCTAGGTATAAGACTATAATGCCTTAACTCATGGGAATGGATTTCTACTGATGAAAGATCAGTGTGTGAAAATATTTGGTGGCAGATGGTCCTTTATGGATCCCTGGCATCAACCCTTTGTCTGCTTTTGGGGAAGATTCCCTCAGGTCTCTTGAAATACTTTATATTGTAACCTTGTATTGTGGATGCTAAAGGAAAAGAATAAGAGGGATAACATTTGGAAATTGTTTTCCCCATTACTGCAAGGCTGTTTTCTGTCTATTGACTACCTTATAACTAAATACTCCCTTTGCTAGCTAAACAAGAGAACAGAGGAAAAGGAACTATGAATCTATTAAATCAAATACATTTTGCTCAGATAGTACTTAAAAGGAAATGAATTCTCAGTATACTCTCAAGGTTTGTATGATAAAGCTAATTGTAAAGGCTGTTACATGTCTTCAACTGCCTTTGAGTATGATCATTGTGTCTCAGGAGCAGATATTTTGATTATCTTCAATACCAACCATGTCCTGTCACTAATGGGCCTAACCAGCCTGTTAACATTATAAAGGTGTAGATTATACAGCAGATGGTTTAAAGGAAGTAACTAAAGGGATTTAGGGAACGAATGGAAAAAACATTCCAAAAGCTTTTTTTTTTCATATTAAGTAGGTAATTATAGAGGTTGAAGCTACTTTGTTAAGCCAAATTTGTTAACTTGCTATGCATCTTAAGGTTGGGGGTGGGGGGGAGAAACTGGACTGTTATATAGCCTTTAAATCACCTCCAGGTTTTTATTGTTCTTGATGCATGGGAACAGTGTCACAGACAATCCATAAAAAAGAATAATATAAAATACAATTAAAGATGATTAAACAATATTTTAAAAACTTTTTAAATCTATATTTGTTTTTGAGAGAGAGAAACAGCGTGGGAGCTTGAGAGGAACAGAGAGAGAGGGACACAGAATCCGAAGCAGGCTCCAGGCTCTGAAGTGTCAGCACAGAACCCCATGCAGGGCTTGAACCCACGAACCATGAGATCATGACCTGAGCCGAAGTCAGACACTTAACCAACTGAGCCACCAAAACAATAAATATTAAAATTATGTTTAGTCTGGAGATGTATCGCCAGTAATTTACCATGACCTAGAATGTTTAACTAATGCAGATTTCCCCTCTCTATTATTGACAGTTAATGAGACTGATACATGACAGGTAAACAACCAATACCAGGGAGTGAATTAAAAAAAGCCCCTCCCGCCAAGAAATAGCTTGTCATCAGTACATATTTATTCTAATCCAGTTGTACCTTCTTGCCTTCAACAATGCATCATGATCATCAAAATCCATAGTGGTGAATCTGGTGCCTTCTGAATCCTCAAAGAAAGTTCAAGTGCCCTTCAGTATAAATTTAGAATGAGATATTTATGATTATTGATTTATTTCTAATGAATATTTCTCATACAGAAAAGGATTTGAGGCAGCTTATAATAAAAGCCCATACATAGCAAAGCAGTGAAAAATGAAGTCAGAAAGAGATTCCAGAATCAACAGAGTCCAAAAACTTTCTTAGGCTGTAGACTGCTTCAAAGATCTGTTAAAGAGCTGTGGAACATCTCCCCAGAAAAGTATAACTATGCAAATAGGCACAAAATCCTTGAAGTGTATCCATGTACCCACCCTGGGTGTCCTTGAACCCCAGGTCAAGAACGTGTGTATATAGAGGGGGGTGCCTGGGTGGCTCGGTCGGTTAAACATCCAACGTCGGCTCAGGTCACGATCTCATGATTTGTGGGTTCGAGCCCCACGTCGGGCTCCGTGCTGACAGCTTAGAGTTGAGCCTGCTTTGGATCTTTGTCTCCCTCTCTCTCTGTCCTTCCCCTGTTCATGCTCTGTCTCTCTTTCTCTCTCTGTCTCTCAAAAATAAATAAACGTTAAAAATTTTTAAAAAAGAACCCTTGTATAGAGAAAGCAAAGTATGGAGGTAAGATAGTTATTGCACTTGAGTATTGCATTTAGCCCTGAGCTTTCTGTCAACTGAGGTTAAAAGATGGCTCCAGGGTTCTCAACTTCTAAAAAAGGAAGCAGGTCAGTTTACAAGATTATAAGTGAAAAATATAATTTTTAAATGGCAATGTTTATACAGTTTTGTAAAGGGTAATAAAGTAATATAAAGGGAGGTAGCATAATTTGGTGAAATTCTTTGAAATTAAGTAATTGGAAGTAGAATATCTATGCTAATTGTGTTGCAGGCATATTAAATTAGTCAGTGTCTCATTTCTAGCCATTCTGGAAAAGAGGGAATTTACTGTATATGTCTTTCTTTAATGGTAGATTTACCCATCTAATATTATTTGATCAAAGCTGATATTAATATAATATATTCCCATGAGCAAATACCAGCTAAACAGTGAGAGAGGCCTTAGGGTATAAAAAGAAATCGAACTGTGATTAAATATCTGCTATTAATAGGTCATACCATGGAAAACTGGCATATAGATAATGGCAGATAATCACTTTAGGTGCCTACTGCTTTCAACTTTTCTCAAAGACAAATAAATAACACAGTCATTCCTGTCACAATTATAGGCAGAGGCACTATAGGGTAGGGGTAAAGAACCCAGTCTGTAGAATCAGAGACTGGTTTTCTACCACTTATTAACCATGTGACTTTGGGAAAAGTCATTGAACTTGTCTGAGTCTCAGTTCTTTTCTGTAAAATAAGAATCATAAAAATGTGAATCTAAGGGCTGCTCTTAGGCTGTACAAGGGTCCCCTGGAAGTATTTCTTTTGTGGGGCTCCTGTCCAAAAAATTTAAGTCACCTAAAATCAACATGTTACTGTCATCCTAGAAGTCCAGTCTCACACAATCCTGTGAAGCAAATACCACATGACTAACAGGAGTAATCCATTTGCCAGGCCATTCTGCCAGAATTGGGACCTTGTGGTGGGGCCCCAGGACAGCCACATAAACACCAGTGCTGGAACTACTTGAAGGATCCAGTTAACTGCAAGCATAAGTTTGCTGTGAGGACTGGGAATTCCCCCAAAGACAAAGGGATAGAACAGGGATCCTCTCTGCCAAGGTCTAAAGAGGATATTGGTCTATCTTAAAGGATCATTGGGAAGATTAAATGAGGTAATTGATATAAAGCATTTGACATGAAAATTCTGTAAAGCCTGGCTCACAGTAAGTACTCAGTACATGTTGGCAATGATTAGTATTATAATTAGTATTAACAATACTCAATGCATTTCATGCCCAATCTGGTTTTCTTTCAGTGGATGGCTGCATTGACTGGTCAGTGGATCTCAAGACATACATGGCTTTGGCAGGTGAACCAGTACGGGTGAAATGTGCCCTTTTCTACAGTTATATTCGCACCAACTATAGCATGGCCCAGAGCACTGGACTCAGGCTTATGTGGTACAAAAACAAGGGTGATTTGGAAGAGCCCATCATCTTTTCAGAGGTCAGGATGAGCAAAGAAGAAGATTCAATATGGTTTCACTCAGCTGAGGCACAAGACAGTGGTTTCTACACTTGTGTTTTAAGGTGAGTGCTGTGTGAAAATATTGCTCAATACCATAGTTAGTCATCTTTTGATTGGGCCTGGAGTGTATGGAGGTGTTGCTCACGTTATACAGTGAATATCTTTGCAGTGCATGGGGAGCTTCAGTAAGTTCAATTGTAATTATTTATTGGGACTACACAAATTCCTATCAAGTTTTCATAAAATGGGACTTACATTTACTGTGCATGCTCATAGAATTTTATAAAAGTTTGTGTTTCATTTCTTAACTCCACCCCTACTGTAGGGTCTTCTAACAATTGTTTTTTCATAGAGCCAATGGGCTCAATGTTCTTAATATCTGACGATGAAAATGGCCTAAAGTATCATTTAAGGTAAATTCTCTACTTTTTTTGTTGATGGAAAATAGCTTCAGATGCTACTGGGAGATCTCTTAGCAAATAAGCTACTGTTAAAAATTTTCATATGATTTGCACAGTGTCCACTGTATCTAAATGTTCAACATGGAGCCCTGTAAACACATGGTCATCCTGAGTTCCTAGGTGCTATACAGGGAATAATATGTAACAGATACTATTGATTCTTGTAAGAAGTTTATAGTGAAAAGCAATCTGTTTTATCCTAAGGGATTCTGCAATATGTCCTTCCTTCCCCTTCCACCCTAGTGCAAGGATCTAGGACATAGAATCTCAGATAGGGATTGCATTAGGTATTGAAGTAGATAGCTGAGATGACCTTTAAACCACTTTTCAATTCTGCCATTTTGGGAGTCTCTGATCTTGCACACCAGGCACCTACAATCTATTATTTGATTTCAACTTCCTGGAAATGCAGACCCTTCCTATTTTTGCCTCCTGTGGACTTTGATGCCAAAGCTATGTCACCTCTTCATCAAAAGCAATTCGAAACCCCTGGTGAGGCCACATTGTTCAAAAGGCCAGGGGAACAGGGTGGTGTATAAATAATCTTCTTGATGCTCTAGGCATCACTTTTATACGTATGTGTTTTGAGGGGGGAGTGTTGGGGAAGCAAGTGGTGAGTTTAGTTTCTGTTTGTGGTGGACAAAAACTCCAGAATACTGGAAGAAATAGCAATCATACTTAGTGATAATCAATGTTTTCACCTACTTGGGCAGCTCTCGGAAAAAAAATGAGAAAAGGATGGTAATTCAGCCTCAGTGAATGATACTATATTCTTTGAGTACTGCTACACTTTTCCTGCTTACCTCCTCTTCACCCCCACCTTCATTAAATCTTGCCAATCTAAAATAGATGTCTTTTCCTCCTTCTGATCCATTTGCTTGTTTTTTTTCACAGATTTATATTTTTGTTTGCAAAGCATTAGTTCACTGTATAGATGTTGTATACTGATAATGAATTATCAACTTAATTATTGCTTACTTTCCCTGGTCTGCTTATATGCCCAGACTTGTTACCCCTCTCCTCTTTTCTCTCCTCTCACCCTATTCTCCTACTCCGAGCAATGTTACTAATCCAGTGTGTATCCTTGCATACCTTCTCCCTATTCTTTGAAGTGGAAATATATATATATATATATATATATGGATTTTCTCCTCATTGTTTTACAAAATAAGAGTTTTATATTTCTCTGCATTTTCTTTCCTTAATAAAAATACAGAGTGGAAATCTTTCCAAGTCAATTGATAGAGAGCTCACTTATCCTTTTAAGTGTGTAATATTCTGTGTTGCTTAATAGTCTATGATACTACCATTTAGTCAATCATTTTTGTATTTATGTGCATGTATTTTGTTTCCAGCTTTTTATCCCCATAAAATGTACTGTAATAAAAGACCCCTCCATTTGCTTTTAAATAAATGTATAAATTTTAGAACAATTTTAAACTTACAGAATTATTGCAAAGACAGTACAGTAAGCTCCTGTGTGCCCTACACCATTTTCCCCTGTTATTAACATCTTACATGACTATGGTATATTTGTTACAATTAATGAACCAACAGTGGTACATTGTTATTAACTAAAGTCCATAATAATTTAGATTTTCTCAGATTTTCCTTAATGTCTTTTTTCTATTCCAGGATCCCATCTGGGATACCACATTACATTTAGTTGTTAGCTGTCCTTAACTTCCTTTCGGTTGTGGTGCTTTTTCAACTTTCCTTAATTCTTATGACCTTCGCAGTTTGAGGAATACTGTTTAGATATTTTGTAGAATGTCCCTCAGTTGGGATTTATCTGATATTTATTTCATAGTTAGACTGGGGTAATGTGTTTTTTTGAGGAAGCCCACAGACATAAAATATACTCATTACGTCATATCAAGGGTAAAAAGTATCAATATACCTTATCGCTTTTGTTTTGTTTTTTATTTTGTTTATTTCAAATTTTTATTTAAATTCTAGTTAGTTAACATATAGTATAATATTGGTTTTAGTAGAACTTAATGATACATCACTTGCATATAGCACCCAGTGTTCATCACAAGTGCTCTCCTTAATACCCATTCCCCATTTAGCCTATCCCCCTCCCACCTCCACTTTAGCAAACCCTCAGTTTGTTCTCTATGGTTAAGAATCTTTTATGGTTTCCCTTCATCTCTTTTTTTTCTTTCCTTCTCCTATGTCCCTCTATTTTGTTTCCTCAATTCCATATGAGTGAAATCATATGGCATTTATCTTTCTCTGACTGACTTAATTCACTTAGCATAATGCACTCTAGCTCCATCCACATTGTTACAGATGGCAAGATTTCTTTCTTTTTGATTGCTGAGTAATATTCCACAGTATGTATCTGTGTGTGTGTGTGTGTGTATGTGTGTGTGCATTTCTTTATATTTCAGCACTATAAGATGCTCCAGGATTATCTTGTATATTTCCTGCCCTAGTCCTACAATCAGCCACTTTTCTGACGGACCCTGATTCCTTTTAAGGGAGAATGGCATTACAAATTTCCATAAGTATGCTCTTTGCTACTGGGGTGTGATTGCTTCTAGCCCTTCTCAGTTGACAGCCTATTTGCTTTTAAACAAAGACTTGTAGTCTTTGTAGTATTTCATGCACAAGTGGAAGTTCCCAGTGTCCCTGAAATCCTGTCTTGTAGATGGCCCTCTCTTTCAAGTACATATCTGATTAAGTTTGTATCTGTTGTTGATATCATCTAAGTCAGTGGTTCTCAAGTCACATGTAGATCAGTAGAAGAGAAAAGGATGATACCCACTGAGCAGAGGCTTATATTCAAGCATAACTCCTGACATCCTTTATTCATGCAGTAGATCTTAGGGAGTGATTGGGACTGATGGAGTGGGTGAATCTTTTGAATATTATACTTCCCATATACCTTAGTATGGAAAAAGAAGAGTTTGGGGCCCAATGTTCTAAAGGAAGGAACAGTCTTTGTCAACTTAGAGAAGTCTCTTCCAGAATGATACAAGTGATTTGTCTAGCATTTGGCTGTGTTTAATAAATATGCTTTTCAGATCTAGTACTGGCCACTGACTCCAAATATATGCCAAGTGAGAAATTCAGTCCATATAGGTGATTTTATGCCATTGCCAAGAGAGTATCATTTATAGTGAAAAAGGCTCTGAATTTGACAATGTGTGTATTCACCTAAAATTCCCAATTTAATGCCATTTTAATGTAATCATGGATGATAATTTTTCTGTGAATTATTGCCCTCATTAAAAATTAGTCTATTAATTTCAGTGTGTTTAAAAATGCATATATGAAATATTTAATAATATTCTCTACCCATTTGCATCATAGCAAGAAAAATTTACTGTTTGTGATCTTTCTATAGCCAATTACTCAGTTTTGTGTTTTTAATTTAGCCAGTCTCAAGAGTGATTAGTTGAATTTCTCAGCATTTTTAGTTAAGGGTTATAGTAATAGAGAAATGATAGAGAAGTGAGTCATATTTTGAGAGGTAGTGCCAGTCCAAAAATTACTGTCTCCCCTGCTTCCCACCTGAATCTTTTCAGTGGAGGCACTTACTAAGATAAAAGTGATGAGAGTAATCCCACATATCACTTTCCCAACAACTTGGAACAAGGGATGACTTAATCTGTGGATGAAGACAGATATATCTATATAATCCTGAATTTAATTCACAGGTATTGAAAAGAGTGATTAAATATTATCAAACATCTGTAGAAACCTGAGTGTTTGGGGATAACGATGGCCAAGTGCAGTGAACCAGTTATAAGTTCAAAAACCATTATGACCATTTACCTCTACAACAAAGTAAACAGAACAAGAACCCCCTTCTTAAAGGGGTACATAATCCAACCATTTTTGCTCTTTAGTAATCATTAAAATAAATGAGGTTCTCAAAATCTGACTGTCTCACAAACTCTTTCTAAAGGGTTCCTTAGTGCATTTATCCAGCCCTGACACATGACATTTGCATTGCTATTCATCACATTTTAGTGATTATTACTCCAACAAAGCAATATCATCAGAAAAGTTGAGGGGGTAGAGATATTTGAAACAAGGAATGTAGCATGTTGCTAATTATTGAATCTGAACAAAGAGTATATGAGTGTACATTATATTGGTATTTTTATTTTTGAGTATGTTTGAAATGTTCCATATTTTAAAAAATAAATACAAATATACAGTAATTTTCTCTGATTTTAATGGCTCCTAAATGATCCTGACCTATAAATGCCTATGTAGTATATAGTAAACAAGGTTTACATTTTAGTCAACAAATGTTCATTGAGCATGTACGATGGGATTCACTTTGTACCATATTGCAAGGAAACCTGTGTCTTTTGAAAGGAAAGTAATTGTCCTAGTCTACCTAAAACACTAAGAAATATGTTTCAACACCTTTCACCCTCCTATCCTACTCCCCATCATGGTTACCAAGAGATTATCAAGGACAGTGAGCTTTCTTATAATTTAATCCCAATTTAACTGTTAATCCTTGAAAAATTAAGTGTCAACAAGTAGCTTGCTCAGGTACCAATTTCCAGGAGAGCAGATAGTCTCTTTTAGGAAAAATGAGGATTTGGACTTATTATAATTAATTGAAC